AGGCTTAAAAGATAAGGTCAGTCATTTTGTATGGATTATTAATAGACTTTTTAACAGCGCCCATGGTGAAACTACCACCAACAATGAACAGCTTTTACTCACAGTTAATGACCGTCAGTCTCCAAAAATGTTGCCCCAAAAGTTTCAAACGTTTTGCTTTACAGCGTCTGAAGTAAAGCAAGACTCAACTGCACGAGCAAGATCTCTGTGAAACCGCTCAGAGCTAGCAGACTGTAAACAAAACAGTGTGTGTGTGTGTGTAGCAAAAAAAGTCACCCACTGCAGCAATATGCACATTTTGCAGCATGTACAAAATAAAAATAACCAGTAATGTTTTAGATCTATTAAAACTAAAAGTAACAAGCCTCATTTGAACATGTGATGTTTAGAAAGTACAGTGTTAAATTGTAAGTAAAAGGTTGTCAGAAAAAGAGTACAGGTCCCTGAAAAATCTACTTAAGTACAATAATATTTGTACTTCATTAATTCCCACCTCTGAGGAACAGTTTCTCTCTTCAGTTAACTATTGGCGAGAAAATGAATAAGCATATTTGCCAAAATGGCAAACCTTTTCTTTAGACCTTATTCTTACTTTTCAGTCCTCATATCATTTCCTAAACGAGCAGGCAAACTGCATATCAGAGCTCTCTGCTTCTGTAAAACATGCCTCACCACTGTGTAGACTAAATCGGCACATTTCAAGCTTTTCTTTTCTTACTCATTTAATTCAGTATTTTTTATGACCAGTGATTGCTCGTCTTATGTGATGATCTCTTTGTGTATTGTGCTTGCCTATGACTGCGTTACAGAGAAGCAGAGAGCAATTCATTCGCACATGGATACATACAAAAATACAAAATTAAATGGAACATAGGTGGGAAAATTTATTTTTCTTTTGTTTTTGTTTTGTTGTTTAATCTGTATATTCTTATCCTTTGCAATGGTGACAGGCAGAGGGCGCACATCAGCAAGTTCGTGTAAAGGGAAAAACAAGATTTGGGAAATGTTCCTCTGTCTCTTGCTGGTTGTTTTTGTTTATTTTGCTTTTTTCCCCAAACGTGATAGGTAATGTACAATAGTCTGCTTTCAGTCCTTATGGTGTAATTTTACTACATTTCTGTTGCGTCTGTGGTCAGTGTACAGCAGATGTCCACTGCAACATGATGATACAGATCTAGCCATCAAAGAGGTCCCACTTTTTACTGCATGCTTGTTGCACTAAAACACCACTTCTGCTGATGGAATGAAAAATCTGATTTTTTTTTCTGAGTTGGTACAATTGGTCTTGCAGCCACAGTAACAGATGGATGAATCTTATATTACAGTATGCAGTGTAGTTCAGCTGTGTAATATTTTAGCAAGATGTGTCCATGTTTCGCACTGCAGCACTAATGTAGGAAAGAAGAAGCCTACAATGGCTACTGTACCAGCGAGGAGTCTGATGTCTGTACAGTCTGAATGCCTTTGCCTGCCTCTGTTAGCCACAGGCAGATGTAAATGATATTCTCATCCACAAGCTTGTGTACTACTCAGAATGATGCTGTATAATGGCTATGCATTTGGTGGTATAGCGTGAATATTTGGGACATTGTATTTGATACTCTTCTTTAACTGTCAGTAACGTCTCTCCTCTGCCTGTGCTTTCTCTGTTCAAATATAACTTTTTTTTTCCTGTTTTACAAGATTACGTTTAGTTTGACTTTTAAAAAGCCAAGAATGTCTTTTTTTTTTTTTAAATGCACCGTCTTCCCTCCTGATACGTTTCACATTTGCTGTACAAGAAATACTATGTGTGAGAAATAAACCAAACTTGTGCTCCCCCCTTCAGGTGCCTTCTACATCGATTGTTTTAACTATGCTAGTGGCTCTAGGAATGGCCATGTAGGATGGTCCATCACTTTGGTTCAGGCTGAAATACTGACACAGTTGGTACATTTCATTTAAACAGTCGATTCTACATGCATTTGGTTTGCCTTAGAATCAGACTCGTGCTGTGAAAAAAGCTGAATGGTTTGCTTATTCTACAAAGAAGCAAAAATGGCTTGGAAAAATGTACACTGGTCTACAGTTATACTGGTCTACACGTATTTTGAGATGCCGAATTCAAATATAACCTTTAAAATACCCGTTTGGCTATAGTTTTTTGAGATATAGAAACATCTGTGCAAAATATTGGTAACTTAACCATCCTAATATTTCACCTAAGAAGCTTGTTATATCAAAAGCAAATCATTGTCATTAAAACCAAAACTCTTGTCATTCTGGTTTTGCTCAGAGATCTTTCCTTCTGTAATTTGACAAAGTTCAGTCATTTTGAAGCAATGCCTCATCTTACAAACCAGAGCCAATCAGCAATGTTAGATATCCGTTTCATTTTCAGTGGCCCAGAATTGAGTGATTATTTTTGTTTCAGAAGCATTTTGGTTGTGACCAATTATCAGTAGCTTGTGGTGAAACTTCAAGCGGACTACAATCTTAGATTAGTATTACAGATATCTTCAAGTCTTATAAGTAGTATATTTAAATGGAGAAATGTGCTCACTGTACTGTTGTCTGAGGAGATCGAATACATGCCAAGCATGGGTTAAATTCCGATTCCCTTAACTTATTGTTCCTCACTCAACCCAGAAGCCAGTACAGTCTGTCATTTAGAAGGAATACCAAAGCCTTTACAGTGAAGATCCACTGAGCATGACAAAATCTTCCCCCATTCATTTTCTATGAGACACAAGCAACTCACTTCACAAAGCATTGTGGGATTCCAGGTGACACGAAACAGATTTGCGAGGTGACCAAAGAGGACGAGACAGAAATTAAGCATTTTAAAATTTATGCAAATGAAGGCAAAATTTACCCGGAAGTGATGCCGTAAAAACTGATGTGAAGCGGCTTGTTTGTAGATAGATTAATGGTAAAACATCAGTGGACCAGAGAATAATATTTGCAGTCTGAACTTCCTCTCCTTGCATCTTATGTGGGTCGAGCTAAAACACAAGGAAAAGAGCGAGTAAGGGAAGCAATTAAGGGAATTGGGATTTACCCATGGTCATGGTAAGGGCTACCAATGGCATCTCTAAACAACTTGATGCTCCTGTGACTACAGTTGCTAATATTAATCCATGGGACCATAGCCAAGCTCCCTAGACATGGCCATAGGAGGAACTGACCCCAGAATGAAAAGAAGGATATTTCAAATGGTAGAAAGACAACCAAGGAAACCTTCAAACCAGATACAATCTGACCTTCAATATCAAGTTACACCAGTGCCCAGCCACACAAAACATTGCTCTCTGAATGAAACTCAGCTCCTTGGAGGAAGGCCCAGAAAGAAAGGAAGAGAAGGATTAAAAAGAAAAAAAGTCTAACCAGGGGTTTGCCAAACTGTTTCCATGTCTCAATGCTGCTTGGAGAACAAGTCACATCAGCTGTCTGCTCATAGGAGAAACACTGCTGTGAACAATGGAGGCAGCTCAGTGAAGTTATGGAGCTCCTTCGTTACATCTGGCACAGGGCGCCTTGATCTGTGCGGGGAACAATGAAATCAAATGATTATTACAGCATCTGGAGAAAAACATATTGTCCAGTGTCAGAGAGCTCCGTCTTAGCCGTCATGCCTCCTCCAACAGGATAATTATCCAAAACATCTAAAAGCACCAAGAACGGATGAAGAGAAAACATTGGACTGATCTGAAACAGCTTGCTGTGAGAACATCTATGGAAAGAACAAACTCGCAGTCGGGAGAAGGCACCGATCCAACCTGAGAGAACTGAGGCGGTTTGCTAAAGAAGATGGGGCCAAACTACCAGCTGAGAAGTGCAGGTCTCATTAAAAGCCATTTAAAAAACACTTGATTGCCTGTATCCCAACAACAGGGTGGGATTGCCAAAAAATTTCCTGCAGATATTCAAGTTCCCTTGAAGGATGAATTCCAGTGACTTTTCTGAACCCGACTGACCACAAGTTCACATTTGTGGGTTTGCAATAAATAGTTTGTGTCCACTTGGGGGCAGCAGAAACAAACCGTGAACTCAGCATTGACATGTCATCCACTTAAATCGAACTTGTTAGCAAATAATTGTCTGTATACACACCCAGCAGACGGAGAGCAACATTAGCATTCATGGGAGTCACAGTTTTGTCCATCTGATGAATGAGGGAAATAAATAGAAAACAGTAGACAGGGTAACCAGCGGCCTCTTAAAAGCATTAGCACCAAAAACAGCTGCCTGCTGCTGTCAAAATCAACACCTGGAGATCAGTGAGAGTGAACCAAAACAATAAAGTGCTATCAAGTTCCATTATGCTGCAGACTAGGTGATCATTCTCCAGACGTTCATCACAACAAGTGACCCCTTTCACATGGTCATACAGCTCCTAGCATTGCTGTAGAACCTTTAGTCTCGGATCCCTCGTATTTAGACATACAAAGAAAATGCAACAATTTAAAAATAAGCTACTCAAGCTCAGCACCACGAAGCAGTTTGGTCCAGTTTGAAATCACAGCCTTTCATCAATAATTCTTTTCTGTTGACACTTATTTGGAACTACATGAAAGCCATAAATGCCTTGAGGCCACTCTGTACTGTAATTATGAGTATTAACAGCAATACTGTGCCTTTTAAAAAACAGAAGGTCAAGAGCTGTTTCAATCTTGCACCAAAAGAAATGAAGCAAAGTGATTTATTAGCTACCTGTATGTCAGCAATGCTTTACTATGAAAAGGAAATAAACGCTTCACTTGTTTTTTTCCTCAGGTTCTCTTCTCACATAGTTAAAGCTATTTGTCTCAGCAGGGCAGTCACTACTACACCCATAATCACTGAAAAATTCCCTCTTGGGTGTTATTGTTATAATAATCCATTCCACAGCCTATTGTACTGCACATCAACTTTCTCTCACCACCCACAGTTTGCTCAGCACAAAAACACAACCATACAACTGCAACATTTACCAGGAGCTCAACTCAGACTTGACCAGCATCTTGCTGAGAGCACACGCTTTCTGGCCGTTATGGGTTAAACAAAAATTCTATATGTGCATATTTAGATTTTTTTTTTTTTTTTTGCCCATTTTAAACATCCAAGCTAAAACTTTGCAATAGTCCGACTTAGTTCAGTGGCGATAAACACTTGACAGCCAGATGCAGGGAACACACACGTTTCAGTCCTAGTGGGGACTTTAGATTGACTTGCATTCATTTCCTGGAGACTTAGCCTAAGTTTAACCATAACCACTACTTACCTAAGCCTAACCTTAAACTAAGTCATTGCCCTAAAAGGCTGAGTCCACACAATGTGTGAGCAGGTTTCAGTTCCCACAGTGTGAACACTAGCAGGCGCGGGCACACGCAATCTGCCTCATTTCCACCTACACACTATTACAGCCACACTGGTCTTTGTGAGAGACGATACTCAAACCAGAAAAGACACTGCAGAACACAAACAAAAACCGCACTGATGGTTAGAGTGATGTCCCGTGCTGCTGTCTGTCGTCTCCAATAAAATCCAAATCACAGAGAACATGATTGCCTTTAGAGAACTTTATTTACATGTTCACATAGACCAAGGTTCAATGATCAAAATGCATTTGTGAAAATAACCCTTCTGCCTACATGTGCCCTAACAAATACAATAGAAAAAAAGAAAAAAAACATCTAATGTCGAGTGTTAAGGATAAACATGATGAGGTGGTGGCCACGCCCCCAAAACCGAAGAGCACCTGTTGTGTTTTCCTCTGTCCTCGGGGTTGTGGTTTTCTCTTCCAGACCGGTTTCCTGAAACATCTCCAGAGTAAGTTCTTTGTTCTTTTGTAAAAGAAAAATAATATTAAAAAAAGCAAACAGTCTCAGGACACTTCAGAGGAAACCGAGCCCTGTTCTGTCATATATGTACTGGAGATGATACAATCATGTTGCTGCTAAAACTTAATGAGGAGGAGAGAGAGAAAAAAAAAACATAGCTGGGTCTTCACAGCACACCATCCTGCCATCTGCCACACATCTGGCACCCAAAGGAGCAGCCACGTGCTGAGGACTGGGCTGGACTGGGACTTTTTACACAGCGCAGAACACAGACTGTATTTTCCATCAGGAATTTCCAGCCCTCCCTGAACCATTCTTGCATTTCCTCAGTCCCATGTTTCTCTTTTTTTTCCCACTGGATTCGGTTTGACTGTTTGCGAAAAATTCAAAGGCTAAAAAAATAACTTTTTTGGCTAATTTCTTGTTCACTACAGAGGTTTTATTTTGTAATTTTTTTAAGAAAGAGAATAAAAACAAAAGATCTTTGGAGGAATCCCATAACTGTGCAGCTATAGACTAACCAGCCTTCTCAGAGCATTAAAAAGTTCAGTTGGTTTTTTCCAGAGATGTGACTTTGTGCCCCCTCGCTTCTCTTTCTCTCTTTTTTCACAACAGTAAACAAAACAACAAAGTACCAGTTGAATGTCTCTTGTTTACCATGCCACTGATGCTCTGTACAGTCATTGGTGCAAAAAGGAGCCTTGGCCCCTCCCCCCGATTCTAAGTTTTACTCCCCCCACCCCAAGCCAATCAGAGTTCAGTAGATGACTTCATAGACGGTGGCCTTCTTGTCCCCGGAGCCGGTGACGATGAACTGGTCGTCAGGAGAGATATCACAGCTGAGAACCGACGAAGACTCCTTAGACTGAACACACAGACAGAGAGGAAGCAATATTAGCTACAAAAAGTCAGAGACTTTTTTACAAATCATTACAAATACATGAAAAGCTTAGAAATTTCTCAAATTTGACAAATGAACCGTTACCAGGCACACTTTCACATCATGTCATCATATTTCATAGCTAATTTTAAACAAAGACACAAACAAATTTCAGTCCTAGCTGCAGAGCTCTGTGCAAAATCCCCAGTGTTGGATGCCCTACCTGGAATATGCTGGATCCATAAGGTGTCCGCCATGCATTCAGGAGGTTATCTTTGCCTGTGCTCACGAACCACTTACCTACAGGACAAAACACACAGAGCCATCAACAGATAAAGCCTCAAGGGAGGCGAGATACAGCGAAGCCTGAGAGGAAGAGCTGCTTTTGTAAAGAACGGGAGAGGTGAAAAAGGAAGGAACTGTTTCTGAATAATGAGAGAAGCAGATTTGTTCTGTTTCCCTGTGATTAAATGCCCTCAGGTAATGTGATGTAACCAAACGGCGCGTGTGTCTGTGTGTGCGTACCGCAGTAGGCGAACTTCAGTGAGAGAACACAGCTCTCATGGAGGTGCAGCTGGTACTTGTCAGGTTTGGAGACGTGCAGGACTTCCACGTTACTGCTCTCCATTCCCACAGCCAGCCACTCGCCTGTCGGACAGTAGCCCAGAGAGAAGATCTGTGGAGGAAAGGAAAGCACAGGAAAAAGAGAGAATGAAAAGGGCGTTAATGAGCAGCAGCAGCAGCCTGTTAGACTACACTGCACCAAGTCTGATTTATGCGTGCGCTGCTGTGTGTACCTGCGAGGAGAAGTCGTGTTGCTGGAGCTGGCGTCCCTCTCGAAGGTCCCAGCAGCGGACGGTGTTGTCCAGCCCTCCCGTCCACAGCTTGGTGCCGTCGTTGGAGATGTCGATGCAGCTCGCTCCGTCTGTGTGACCCTGAAACTGCCTGCAGTGAGGAGAAGTGACAGAGATTCAGAAATTGTCACACATACCTGCATAAAGACACACTGTACAAACTCTGCTTGTGAGCTTCTTTGCTTCTGTTCTCTTGGACATGTCAGGCCAAATATCTTTCTGTCTTTCCCTTGCCTCAACCCCACTACACTCACCCACCCACCCCTGATTCTTACTTTCACTTCCCCCACATTACTACAATCTTCCTTCCCTTCGTCCCTACTGCTTTTAGTCCTACTTTGTCAAACCTGGTAGTTTTATTCCACCCATATCCCCAATGACTAGTTCATCTCACCTCTTTTTTACTTAACCATAAGGTTATAGATGAGGAAGCCCCAGACTGCAACGATTTCTCATCACTCCGTCTGTCTTCTTATGTGTCTTATCACCTTTCCTGTTTTATCCTCTCCTGCTTTCTTATGAAATGTTTCCACATCCTCAAGCCTTTCTCACCTCTGTCTCTCTCCTTTCTGTACTGCCTCATGACTATAGTCTGTACAATTTGTAAGACAACAAAGTTGTATGCCGTCTCCTCTCACCTGACCAGAGTCTGATTGTGAAGGTCCCAGACGACGATGTTGCCGTCGCTGCAGCAGGAGAAGCAGACCTTGTTGTCGGGGGAGATAGCCAGAGCGTAGCAGGCGGGAGCAGATGACGTCAGCTCTGCCTTGATACGAGGAGTAGGTGTGGCCAAATCCCAGATTGACAGGGTGCTGGCTTCCCCGCCAACGATCAGTGTTCGTCCATCGGAGAGCAGCTTGCAGGAGCGGATGTAGTTATCCCTGTTCTGATTGGACACAATAAAATGAGATATAAACTTTAATATCCAGTGATTTATGTTGCAGTTCACTATAACTGATGACAAGGGGATTCATGTAAAGGTAAACTGCATGATGTAATCATGCTGTTGCAGCAGTAACGCAGCTATAAATAACGATGCTGGAGAAATTGGCTTCCGGACACCACCATAAAGTCATTCATCATCCAAAATCTGTTTTTACATGTGACAAACAAAAGCATCACTTTTAGTATTAAAGTACCATTATAAGTCACAAGATGGACTTTAAATCTGAGTCTACAACAACTATCTAACAGCCACACCTACTCCCTCCTGTCTCACCAGACCGTCCAGATGGGCCATGGGGCTCTTGCTGCACGGCT